TGTTTGTATATGTTAGCTAATAGAACCGCTTCATCATCTATCAATTGCATAATAATCCTTTTGTTCACACGTGTATCTTTCTCATGCACTAAAACCTACTTATGTATGTGTGTATGTGTGTTTGGGTGTGTAACTTTGTTTGTTTGTTTGTATGTATGTGTGTGTTTGTGTGTGTAATTTTGTTTGTTTGTTTGTATGTATGTATTTATTTGTGTGTGTGTGTGTGTGTGTGTGTATGTTACATAAAAATTTTTCTAACCATTGCCTAGCTGTGCAATAAGAAACCATTGATTCGTTTCTATTGAATGCGTCTGTTAGTGTTTAAGGTAAGTATGGTATGTAGTTGATGTAATATTTTTCAATGTTTGGTTGGTCTGTGTGTGTGCGTGTGTGTGTTAGTGTGTGTGTGCGTGTGTGTTAGTGTGTGCGATCTGTATAGCTGTTTGATTGATTGTATAAATAACCGTTCCTAATATTGCTATTATTGTATCTATCTATATTTATGATATTACGGCTATTAATGTTGTTGATGTTGTTGTTGTTGTTGATGTTGTTGATGTTGTTGTTGTTGTTGTTGTTGTTTTTAACGCAATTACTTCCATTTACGTTGTTAATGATAGTGAATTGTTGACGATTGAGTGGTGAATGTTTGTGAATTGTTAATAATTGGATGGTGAATTACTGATTGAATAGCTATTCATACATATCACTTAATTGTTAATGGCGAGTGATTAATTTCTCATAAATGATACTACTCAACAACTACTTAACTAACTTCATTTTATTCGTTACTGCTTTCATGATTAATGTAGTAACTTTCGTAATGGTAATTATCGAACAACGTGTGTGTGTGTGTGTCTGTGTCTTTGTGTGTGTGTGTCTGTGAGTGTGTGTCTCTGTGTGTGTGTGTGTCTGTGTGTGTGTGTCTGTGAGTGTGTGTAAGTATGTGTGCTGGCCTAAGAATATCATTCCCTTTCTGTCGTAAAGTTTGAAAATGGTTTAAATTTTTTTTTCTGTGTGAACTTGTGTGACTTGGTTGACAAAAATTTGCGACAATCTCAATGGCCCATGTTCGCGACTCTCCACGAGAAATCAATTTAACTTTCGCACCGTGAATTGCAAATACAGCAGTACCTACTTTAAATAAGGCTGCCATGGAAACTTTATTATTGTTATTATTATTAATTTATTATTATTATTGTTATTATTATTATTAGTCATTCTTGCTGTCGTTGTTATTATTATTATTTAACAATATTTTTATTACTAACACATGAAAAACTCCGTGAAATTATTCAATGTTCATATACAAGGACGTTTTAAAGTTTTAACTTAGAAAAAAAAGAGAATCGAATGCGTAATTTTAACATTGTTACAAAGAATATATGCAGAAATTTCAAAATTATACCCAAATTTGACGATTAATTTCTGTAATTTTTGCTAGAAATTGGTACAAAAATTTCCACATTTCCCTAAAAATTTACAAAATTTACCATTTCTTCCAGGTATGCCTTACTGTGCGGCAGACCTCCTTTTGAGACCCACTCTTTGAAGGAAACGTACATCCGCATATCCACGAACCGCTACCAAATCCCCAGTCACGTGACTCCCAACGCTCGGAAGTTGATAACTCGTCTGCTCAATCCAGTGCCTCAAAACCGTCCATCCCTTAGTCAGATAGCTACTGATGATTTTTTTACACTTTCCTTTACGCCAAAGTACCTGCCGACTTCGTGCTGCGAGGTTGAGCCCAAGTTTGTCATCAACAAGAGTAAAACTGATAGGTTGGTTGGTTGATTGGTTGGTTTTGTTGGTTGGTTTGGTTGGTTGGTTTGGATGGTTGGTTAGCTGGTTGGTTGGTTGGTGTGTTGATTGATTAGTATGTTGATTGGTTGGTTGGTTGATTGGTGTGTTGGTTTGTTGGTTGATTGGTGTGTTGGTTGGTGTGTTGGTGGTTGGTCGGACGCTTTTTAATTTTTCAACAAACGTCTTCTCAAATATTTGCTTGTTATTAATCATTAGAGAAACTTAGAAAATTACACTGTAATACAAGCTAAAAATGTTATAAGTTCATTGTGGTTTGGCGCCATTGAAAAGTGAATTTAAATCGAATTATATGGAAGAAAGACATTAGCTTTGTAAAATGTATAATCCGTTGTAATAACGTTAAAAAAACAAGACCTGCTTGCTATAAAATAATTTTCATAAAAAATATAAAATAATAATTGGAATACTAGAAATAACAACAATAACAATGATAATAATGATAATAATAATAACAACAATAATAATAACAACAATAATAATAATGATAATCATCATCATAATAGGTCGGCATCAGCGGTAGCTGTAGATAGAAACAAAGAAGGGGGTAAGTTTTCATTCAGAAAGGTTGAACAGCCACTAAAACATTCCAAGTCTTCCACCGTACGTTCTATTCAATTAATTAATTAGTTAATTAATTCGTTTGTTGATTTTTTTATTCATTCGTTCGTTCGTTCGTTCGTTCGTTCGTTCATTCATTCATACATTCATTCATTCATTCATTCATTCATTCATTCATTCATTCATTCATTCATTCATTCATTCATTCATTCATTCATTCATCATTCATTCATTCATCATTCATTCATTCATTCATTCATTCATTCATTCATTCATTCATTCATTCATTCATTCATCCATTAGTAGTAAATTAATCGTTAGTTATCCATACATCTCTTTCATATTTTAAAATAATGCATACCACCAAACTAACGCGCATAATATGGCTTCATTGGAATTGTAGTTATTGCTAAAAAAATTTGTTTGCTACTACTACTACTATTACTACTACTACTATTACTAATACTACTACTACTACTACGACGACTACTACTACTACTACTACTACTACTATTACTACTACTACTACTATTACTACTACTACTTCTACTACCTACTATCACTACAACCACTATTTTTACTACTTCCTCTACTATTACTGTTACTATTATTACTCTACTACTGTTACTATTATTACTACTCACACTACTACTCCTACTACACACCTCGCACAGAAAGCACCAGCAGCAGCATCGGACACTACGTCGACTACGACAGCCACCACAACAGCCACACAAAATCGTATCAAGCAGCCATTTACTCTCGACACCACCAACAACAACAACAACGACGCTAATTACGTCTGCTCCAGATATGCTGGAAAGTATCCAGCCCCCGCTTATAGCAATAGCAATAATAATAATTATAATTATAATAATATTAATAATAAGAGTATTTACAAGCCGACATCTTCTAACGTTAAAAAGCCCATCTATAAGAAATCATCTTCGTTACAGGCAGCTGATGACAGATTAAATTTCAAAAAAGTGCCGATAGAAAACGCTGTAGAAGTTGGCAGCGAGGTTCACAGCAAATCTAAACAAATCTACAACAAAGAAATACAACAACAACAACAACAACAGCAGCAGCAACAACAACAATATTATTACGTAGTTGACGAACGACGTGCTATGAACATGGATGAGTTGCTCGCTAAGAAGAACGAATTTACGACATCAAGCTCTTTTGATGGGTTTGGTGAGTATGTAGTAATGTAGTATCTCTAATTATTTTGTTGTTGTATCTCTAATTATTTCATTGTAGTATCTCTAATTATTTTGTTGTAGTATCTCTAATTACTTCATCGTAGTATCTCTAATTATTTCATTTTACTTTTTTTTTAAATTATTAATATTCGTTTTTGGTTATGAAAATATCTGGCGAGTTTGTTAGCTCAGTCAGTAGAGGTACCATGTCTCGTGTCGCGATGGGATGGTTCGAATAATGTTTCTCTCTTTCTCTTTTTCCCTATGTATGTGTGTGTGTCCGTGTTTGTGTGTGTGTGTATGCATGTATCCGAAACTCAGAGACTTTTGTACACTCTGTATTTACGCTATAATTTGACGGTTTCGAATCAAACCGGAATCGGATTTACGTTTATCGGTCACAAATGATGATATGTAAGAGGTTCTAAATAAACCAGAACTAAACACTCAAGAGCGAAATAGTTTTCTAAAATCTTTCCATAGATAAATAATACAATTTTTGTGATTTGACATTCAGGTCTTTCTGCTTGCTCTGCCATTCGACTCTACAGAGCTTTAACACATTGTCTTGATGCCATGCCACCAGGTAAATTATTATTTCTATTTTTATTGTTTTATTATCATTGTTTTTATTCTGTGGCATTTTTTTCATCTAATTTAGGGGTGGGCAAACTACCAAAAAATTGTCGTCAGCTAGACATTATGACCAAAAAAAAGGAGCCACAAATCTTAAAAATTTTCCCCGGGTCGAAAAATTTGCTGTTTAAGTACATAAGCGGCCCTTCAAAGGTGAAATAGTTTTCAATGCAGCCCTCACAGCAAAAATGTTGCCCACCCCTGATTTCTAGTTGTCATTATTATTATTATAAAATTTTATTTTTTAATATTATACTGTTAAAAAGGATGTTTATTTGCTACATTTATTCATATTAAGCGTACTTATATTTGTATTTGGAGTGTTGTTTGGTAGTAACTTTTGTATTTTTACGTATTATAAAGTATTTTTTTGTACGTTTGCGTATCACTGGTTGTATTTTTTGCATTTTAAGAGCGCTCTCTTAGCATGGTAGCATAAAGTTTGTGTTTTTCAGACAGAAGTGCTTGCTTTTGAAATAAAAATTCGGCAATTCATCTGCTTTGGCAAAAAATAATAAAAATATTGTTGGTTTATTTGATTGAGTGATTAATTAGTTAATTGATTAATTAATTAATTAATTAAATGATTGATTAATTGGTTAAATATTAAGAAAAACTGTGTACTAACCATCTCAACCATTCTTATCTCCAATAGACAGCAGCCCAACACCGATTATGAACATCGAGAATTTGCTCTGGGTTACGAAATGGGTCGACTATTCGAATAAATACGGTTTCGGTTTTCAATTGTCGGATCTGAGTGTCGGTATCCTGTTTAACGACACGACGAGGATGGTCCTATCTTCTGACGGAAAGTCGGTTTTTGTTTCACCTGGTGACGATAATATATTTCGTATTGCATCATTTCATTTTACAATGTTTGATATATTTATTTCATATTAATTTATTATATTTCATTGAGATGTTTATTTGTAGTAAATTATGATGAAATATATTATCTGAGAGTTTATTTTTTTGAAAAAATTAACTCATCAATTTAAAGACAAACACCACAACTCATAAACATGTGATAATTTTTTTTTAGCAAATAGCCATTTTTATCAAGAATTATCATTTCCATTGTTACCAAAAACCACTACCAACCACTACCAACCACTACCAACCACTAACAACTACCGCCACAGGACGCTGACTTACAACGACCTTAGCAACCAGACATTTGTATTTTCGACAACTGCCTCGCCAATCGAACAGCGCAAAAAAGTTACCCTGCTTCTCTACTTCAGCCAGTACATGGAAGAACACCTCATTCACGGAGCCGACCTTCAGCTCGGCCAGGCCCTCGCAAAAATAAGGGGTAAAAATAAAATTGCCGGAAGTGATTCTACCGGAAATAGCATAACCGGAAATGGTTCTTCAAGCGGAAGTATTGTAAATAGGAATGTGGATAATTTAGGGAATGTCTTCATGAAGAAGTGGTTCAGGACTGATAAAGCAATTGTCATGCATCTTAGTAATGGGACATTGCAGGTTAATATGATGGTTGTGGTTGTGATTTTTACTGCTGCTACTACCGCTGCTACTGCTGCTGCTACTACTGTTACTACTGCTGCTGTTGATCTTTTTATTTTCGTGACGTACATGACAAACTATGGCAAGCCATAGATATTTGTATCATTAGAACATTATCAATAAATAGTAAATGACATAAGAAATCACCGTCAAACGATCAAATATATAACAAAGTCATCGCACTACTATAAAACTAACATCCATCCAAATGTTAAAATTTTTTTAACCATCCATCCATCCAACCAACCATCCATCCAACTAACCATTCAACTATCCAACCAACCAACCAACCAACCATCCAACCAACCAACCGACCATCCATCCAATTCCAATTCAATTCGACCGACCCAGCCAACCGACCGACCAATCACATTGCAGGTAAACTTTTTCGACGACCACACGAAATTGATATTAAGCGTTGATGGGCAGGACTATCTGGCCACCTACGTCGACGGCTGCCGGCAGTCGACCTCCTACAAGATCCTCTCTGTCACCAATTTCGGATGTCGGAACGAGATAGCGGAGAGATTGAGATACGCGAGGAGAATGCTGGAGAGTGTAATCAATTTGGGAGGGGAGTCAGTCTGATTGGGTGGATAGGGTTGGATGGATAGTTGGATGGATAGTTTGATTGATAGTAAGATGGATAGTTAGATGGATGGTTGGACAGATAGTTGGATTGATAGTTAGATGGATGGTTGAATGGATGTAGGATGTATGGATAGATGGTTGGTTGGATGGATTTATGGTTAGATGGATGGATAGATTGACCGACCTATGAATGAATGCATCGATGAATGATTGGTTTATTGGTCGATTTTGGCTCATAGATACCTAACCAATGATGATTCGTAAATAAATAATCAATTGATAAGTTAATATTAATTAATTTAAATGGATAAATTCTTAATGTTTATAAATTAATTATTCAAATTAAAAACGTAAATTAATTTTTAAAAACGTTTGAAGACTACATTTACAAAGTGTTCTTCGCTAATTGAATGCCTTTATTTATGATTTTTTATTTACTTATTATTTTTATTTATTATGTAATTTTTCAATTTAAGCAGTTAATACTTTGACAAAACTCTGTGCGTGTGCGTGTGTGTGGGTTTGTACGGATATCTAAGAGTGCGTGTGTGTATATTTATACACAAATACATATATAATAATATATCAATATGTATTTTTCGTTCTACTTAAGTTCATTTTTAAGACAATTTTTAAATAAATAATGAAAAAATGATGAGCATCATATAAATAATAATTTATATTTGTGGTTTAGAATACATTTAGTCTATTATTTAACCTGAAAACTTCAAATATCAACCACGATGATAAAGAATGAAAGATTGAGAATTTTTGTAAGAATGACTGATTGGTTGATTGGTAGATAGATTGATCGATTGACATTTGAATGGAAGTTTTGGCGAATTTGTTCCGGAGAATTAATTTCGACAAAGCAAATTTCCAATGTCCTTCTACCCTCCAAAAAATTTTAAAAATTCTCTTCAAATTTCGAATTTTCGACAGCATGAGATGGTTTTATTGCAATAGTTATTATGATATTGAAGAGCCTAAGTGTTAGTGTGTGTGTGGTTTACACATGGTTGTGTGTGTGTGTGTGTGTGTGGTTTACACATGGTTGTGTGTGTGTGTGCGTGTGTATTTATACGTATGTATATTTTTGCGATTTTTAATTTTAATTCAAGTCTCCATAATCTTTTCTAAGTACAATATTATGAATTGAAAAAATTTTTAGTGCATACTTTCTGAAATGAGGTGCGGAAGATTTTTCTTTCATCTTTCAAAATAATAATTCAGAATTTTATTTCATTTCCATTTATTTTGTTTAAATCAATCTAGAATTTAAATTTTTTAAACTCGTTCTCTCTTAAATGTTATTAGTTATACGGACATTAATATTTCGTTGCTGTATTGATTCCAGAAAAACAGACACACACACACACACATATATATATATGTATATATATATATATATAAGCTTTTTATTATAATTATGTGTATACAAAACTATTTTCTTCTGTTTTTTGTAGCTTTTTAAGAATAAAACGAAAAATGAATAATGACTATACAAGGCTTCTTATGGAAAATTCAACTTTGTGTGTGTGTGCGTATATGAAAGTTTACAGACTAAATAATAGAGATTTATTTTTCAAATTATTCCAAAAAATTTCCTAAATTCCATGAAAATAAAACCTATAATCTTTTTTTTAATTAAAAAATTCACATAAAGAACGAAAATAAATTCAACAATGTAGACCTAACCACTATAGCGGATTTAGTGGGGGCATTGTGAGCAATTTTTTGATAAAAGTCAGAAGAAGCGTTTTATGTATAAAATCGACATGAAAATTGTCGTAAGCCACATTAGCTTAAGTTTTGCCCCCCTCCCCCTATCAAAATCCTAGTCCTCCCTGTCTAGATCCGCCACTGTAACTAACGCTAGCATAAAAAGTGAACAGACTTAAATACGCAACAAACAGATCCATTCAAACACTTAGACACCATACGTACATCAATACCTACATTTGTTTATTGAGTTTGTTGTCTGGATAAACAACAGACTCTATATTGTCTTGTTTTTTTTTTAGTTTGAAAAAAAATGTCTTGTTTGTTTGTTGTTTGGAAGCGCCAATACTTACATGTATACACAGATACACCTTAAATACGCGCCTACATATGTATTTTACATTTATTCAATTAATTTTTGATAGTTTTAGTAAGATAAAAATAAGCAGAGCATGTACATACACACGTACACAGTCATCTAAGGTAATTTCCAAGAACTGTCAATGAAACAGTTAAAACGTGTCAGCAACATACTAAGCACGAAAAAAGTTTAGACAAATGGATGTATAAATAATATATTTATAGCAAGCGTTATATACATTTTTTATAGTGGTAATAAATACAATTTTAAAGTATAAACTCGAGATGATACTCGATAAGATACTCGATAAGACACTTGATCAAATACTTAATAAGATACTTGATAAGATACTTGATCAAATACTCGATAAGATATTTGGCCATATACTCGATAAGATACTTGATATGGTATCTATCGGTTATAATAGTCGATACAATCACTAATCGTTACAATCAATATTCGATATTATTCGATAAATCAATAATCGCTAATATTCGATACAGTACGCAATAAAGTATTCGAGAAAATATTCGATTCAGTATTCGATGAAATACCCGGTATAATAAACGGTTTTCAGACGGTTTTCCTCTGCTGTTCATGGGACTGGTGCCAAAAGACAAAACTCACCAAGTTACCTGGATTTGAGTTTTTGTTGTGTGTCGTATGTTAAATGATCTAACAATTGCAGCTGCTACTGCTACTACTGCTGCTGCTACTACTACTGCTGCTGCTACTACCACTGCTGCTGCTACTACTACCACTGCTACTACTACGTATAGCAGTGTGTGTGAAAGTGTATCTGTATGTATGTTTGTGTATGTATGAATGTATGTATCTATGTGTGTATGTATGCATGTATGTATGTGTGTATGTGTGTGCCAAAGCAACCGACCGTTATGCATAAGGTTCTTCATGAGGGTATCTTCAAGCCCCTTCCTGTCAGCGCAGTGATGCCACTGAGATAGGTCACTATTACAATCCGTGCCCTCGCCTGGGGGCTTCGTCTGAATGTTCGAGACGCAACGCCTACACTTGAATCTGATTGGATGTGTGAGTGTGTAGGTTGAATTTGATTGGTCAGAAGTTTGATGAGTGGGCGAGGTTTGAATAATCGGTCAAATCTGACTGGTCGAGAGATTACTTATTGGTCGCAGTTTGTATGATTGAATGAATTTGATTGGTTGCCTGGTTGGCTGGCGAAAATTAAACGACACATAGAATTTGATTGGATGGCTGGCCTGGCTCGTATGATTGAGTAATTGAAGGATAGGCGAGTAAAAATGATTTAAGTAATTTTTATGGACTAACACAACACACGCACACACACACACACAAATCAATGACTAACTTATCATGTGTATCACTGATAGTGTTATCATTAAGTGTGAAGAGATCTCGAAGATCACCCAGGCTGAAATGCCTCTCCACATCTTCCTCCATATCCACCACACAACTGCTCAGTGCTTTCTTGTGTGACTGCCTTTGTAGCATCTTCTCTTCTATTGTACCTGTCTGTATATATGTATGCATGCATGTATGTATGTACGTATGTATGTATGTTTGTTTGTTTGTTGGTGTGTGGGTGTGTATTGTGTCTGTGTATATGTGTGTGTGTATGTTTATTGGTTAGTGTGTGTGTGTGTGTGTGTGTGTGTGTGTGTGTGTGTGTGTGTGTGTGTGTGTGTGTGTGTATGTGCATGATGTGCACTCATTCCTAGAACAAACTAACAGAGATGAATCGATAGATGTAGCACTGCTTCTTCTGTCCATCCCGCCACACGCGGGCCATTGCTTGATCGTCATTGGCTGGATTCCAATCCGGGTCAAACATCACGAGGCGATTGGCCCCAATCAGATTTAGGCCACAGCCCCCTGCTTTGCTACTTAGCATAAAGATGAAGTCCGAACTCTGTGTGTGATCGTTTGATGTTGAATTGTAAAAACAACCAAGCTTTATTATTATTACTATT